TATCCCTAGACGGTCGGCTATGTGGGATCTTGTGTTCCTTAGGTTTTTGGTGTGGAGTAAATCACAGTTTGTCATGGCTAACCCTACCCAGTTCCACCATGATCGTAGGTCCCTAACCACAACCCTACCAAGCCCCCATGTGATATAAAGAGGTCCAAGGTGACAAATCTCATTATTACGTCACCTCGGACCCATGGCCCCTCTACTCCTTTAGTATAGTAACAGCTAACACGGGCCAAACTTTAATTAAAGATTTCCCTTTTATCTCTTTCTAGTCCCGGTGTACTCGCTCACCGCAACCTAGCAAGTAAGTGGTAACAGGTAACAAATTCACTGATAGAACCACCACACCCTCATTATTTCCAACCTCGAGACCACCGAAGGACCCCAACAACCACCGCCGACCATGGCCCTCGATGTACCCCTCGACACCAACCTAGGCCACGGATTGTTCATCCTTCACAACCCTGAAGCCGATGACATCAAGACAATGAGATCCATCCTGATGAAACCCGCCGTCTTCGGAGCAGTCTATGTAAGTGAACCAAAGAAAATCAAAGGTTACTTCTTACTCGCCGTCGACCCCAATAGCGACGAAGCCATTGAGCACTACAACGACCTAGCAGAGCATTGCGACGTCGAAATCCTAACAGTAGGAACAGCCCTTGACATCCTCTACAGCAAAAGACGCAAACTACTCAAGAACAGCACCAAAACGATGTACCGCGAATTACGAGCCCTGGCCATCAAGACATTAGACTGGCAGCTATAACCATCTTAGCCCTTTACCCTTAGCCCTTTAGCCCTGTAGCATAGCCTTAGCCGTAGTAGCACAACCCTCCATGCATCCTTTCGTGTCACGACTAATCGTCACCGGTAAGCACTTCTGGTCTTGGCGTCGCAAAGTAGTCTTACCAGGTAGTGTCACTGGTAAGCACATATCCAACCAATCAGAAACCACACCGCTAGAGAGTTGTGCAATTTCACACGGAACACCAGAGACCAAACCCGCCAGCTAATTTAATCCATGAAAAGTCGACCCAACTCTCTAAACCCGTTAATTAGGTTAACCCCAACCCCAAACCGCCGTAATCTAACCGCGCGCAACCTCGGTCGTCCTGTACACCCCTCTTATGAGGAAACATTTTATGCAAGTATCGCTTGAACACGTCATCTGGGTTGTTATATCCTTGTTTGTCGAGCGGTGCTAAGGTTTACTAGTAGTAGTCCTCCTCTTCCCCAACACATGTCGTACATGCGTCCACATGTATGTGTGGTACTTGGTACCTGGTACCTGGTACTGTGCCGGAAGTGGAGAAAGCAGGACCACCGATACATGTACCGCGTAACTACCGGTGAGCCGGTGAGTACAGCGTACAGTGTACCTTTTTCTATCATTTGCTTTGATGATCACAAGCTCGAGGCAGCATTCACCATTCATGTAACAATCAGCTCTCTCTACACGCAGCGCCACAACATTGATTTAGACTACCGTTCCTCTCGGTTACCCTCCATGATACCATGAATACCTTGCCAAAGGCTACCAGGGTGCTTCCACCTCCAAAATCCGTTTCGGGCAATGAAGATGGCCTCCCTCATCTCCTGATTAAAATGTGGCCCTCATTCAAGCCGCCATGGGTACCTGATGAAATCCTGATCCCATCAGGTTCTACGACTTCATCATCCAGACCTTCTTTTGAACCTGATGCAGTGAAAAGCGCTGCTGAACTTGTCAAATTGTACCATCAAGTGTGGCAAGAGCATGTGTCGCCACTTTCATCTCACTCCACTAGGAGTCATACAGAGGGACCAGAGAACACATCATTGTACCGCCAAGTGTGGCAAGAGCATGTGTCACCTCTCTCCTCTCATCCCATGTCAAGTAATGATACATCGCAGGGGCTTCATAGCTACATTGATGACATTGAAGACATCGGGGATGATAATGACACAAGTAGTGTATTGCCCATGTCATCTTCGTCATCACTGGATCACCATCTATTCTCTGATATTGATTCTATTGAGTTGCCAAGGTATAAGGTTAGGACTCCAGCAGGGAACCATTGCTGGAATGGAACAAGACCCCGCCATGATGGAATTTGATGCTACAGACTTTGTTGTCACTTTGTTGTTTGACCGACTCATTGCCCCAAGAACCTGACTGGCATGAAACCACTACATTTCGTCTGCAGGCCAAAGGACCAAAGGAAGAAGCATCACGTCCGAGGACTCACGTTCCCAGCATCACTTCAGCTGACAGTAAAGAAGGGAGAAGATTGTTTGGAGAGGAAGATTTCATTGCTGTGTCTAGTTTATTGCTATGTATACCAACGTATTCATGACTATTGTTGCGTTCAAAGAACGCAATGAGCCCGAGTGCTTTCTCGCCCTCGCCATGATTTGTGTATATTGAGACGAAATAGCTACACAGAAGGCACGGTGGCCTTCTTGACTCCCACCCAGTTCTTTCGTTTCGTCTGTTGAAAACGAAGCTGGGACGCTTTCTGTCTCGCTGCCTGGCTCTTACGAACTGCTTGGCGATTCACCACACCCCTAATCTTTTGGTGCAGCGCCTTGGCGGCAGCGACGTCCCCAACAATGGAAGATAGCTTCTTCGCGTTCATCAGCAGAACCTTCTTGCCGACCACTGGCGATGCCCCCTGTGAGTTGTTTTCTAGATACTCGCAAATGACGAAGGTGTGCTCCACCATAGCAGCTTCGAACTCGTCCAAGCTCTTGTTGCTCTCGGTATTCGCAGGCTGGTGTTCTTCCCAGTGCTTTGCAATTGCCCGAGCGGCACACAACAGCCATGCCCGGGTATCGTTGATGTCCCACGACGCGACGGGCTTGCTTCTTTCCAATGCTGCAACTGTCGCTGCTTCACCCTGAACAGCAGCAGTCGCTATCGGAGCCTTGCTATTGCTACGCGCGTTGCTCTGTGCAAAGTGGACGGTATGCAACATGTTACGTCGCATCGCCCGTTTCGCCGCTTTGTTGTTGGCTGCCGCGGCCCAGTCCTGAGCGGAAGCAATCTTCCTTAGTCGCTGGAGCTCGGATTCCAGCCGCGTGCGCCCCTCGAGCGATGAACGGTCAAAGGCCTCGCACAAACATGCCGCAATGACACCCTCGGGGTCTTTGAGGACTTGTCGGCGGTTTCGAAACTCAGAGTAGAGTTCCTTGGCCAGTTCCAGCACAGCAAGGTTGAGGTCCAAGGCGTCTCCTACGTGTTGCATGCGGGTAAAGGCTCGTTTCTTTTGCTGGTCTTTGTAGCCAACGCGGGTTTCGTGTCTCTTGGTGTTGGCCTTTCTAGTGCCTTCTCCCAAGTGACACAGGTTAAGTTCTATGTAGGCGTGCGTCTTTCGCAGATTGCTGCAGCCCCGCCCGCCACCCAAACCCCCGGCTGGATCCCTGGAAAGGGATGTGGCGGTGTTGTGTGCCCCACTAAACAAGGGGTTGTAACGGGCGCCGTGGTGGTTACGGTCGGCTTCTCCTTCGAAGTTCCTGTAGGCGGAACCAAGATGGATGATCCTTTCGCAAACCACGTAACCACAAGCAGAACAAATGACGTCGCCATTCTTCCGGTCCAGGACAAAGAGAGATTGATTAATGTTGTCACAAACGACACATTTGTAATCTCGTTCCTCTTCCGGAATGCAGTTCTTTGCTTTCGGCAACGCCACAGGGTGGTTCGGGTCAACCACCTCGTTGCTATTGTTGCTCCTTCCTACCGCCACTACAGTATTGCGAACCCGAGCACGGATGTTCTTTAGCTGGGACACTTCTAAGTTGGGAGAAACCATGTTTTGGATTTTTGTTGGGGTTGCTTTTAATTGGTCTATTTGGCGTTGGGTTTGGATGGCTTGGTGGAGGACAGATGCGATCTCTTGGAGATCCATGAAGGTCACACCGCCAGCGCCCTTCGCTAGCGCTTCCGCTTCTTCAAAAGGCACACGCCGAGTCAAATTACACTCCACAAGGCCTCCTTCCACACCAGCCAATCCATTTATCAGTCCAGCAGGAGACAACGAGACGAGCTTTTCTCCCATGCAAGACGGTAGATGATGGGACAGAGGCTCCCATTCGCTGCCCGCTTCGTACCAGATGCGGTAAGGATCCTGCAAAGCGAGGGTGTGCTTGCTGTTGTCTTTGGGGGCTGCTTCGACCCTCACCTCAGCGGCCGGCACCGCTTTGGTGGCTTCCAGCGCCCACAACAAGTTGCGAAAGAGACGCGATAGCCCCTCGTGGTTCTTGTGCTGGTATTGGAGCACTGACAAAACCGCACGAGAAGCAAACATTAGCACTTTTTTCAAAACAACTATTCCTAACTTACCCTACTACAACGAGAAACGCACAACAAATCACATACCTGTGGGAAAGAAGATGGACTCCAACCAACTCAACAGGTGGTGTGCCTCCATATCCCACAGATAGCAACTGCTGGTTCCTTGTTCTGTCATGTCGGCCGTCGTGGTTGTTTGTTTAGTGTTGTTAGTTCGGCAAAGGGTGTTTTAGGTTGGAAGGGTTTTGGTTTTGTGGGAAGAAGCAGAGCAGAAGAAAACAAGGGCCAAACGCGCCTTTGGTCTAAACGTGCCAATGAGCTTGGCACGGTTGGAAGTCAACAACGTTTGAACAAGTCACAATGACTTGGCTGGAGACGCGTTGAAGTAACCTACCCATAGCCAGACCCTACCAGCAGACTATTGTAGATAGCCACTAGCTAGTAGAAACCGGACGGCTCAGTACGTGCTTGGATCTTGTCGATCGAACTTGGCCGACTGCACCACCAATATTCTCCAGCTACTACAAGCGAGAGTTGATTGCAATGAGACGGGTACAGGCAAATTTATTGTTAGAGCTATTTACGAGCCGCACTTGTTCGACCCGTACTCTAGCACCGTACTGCTTTTGCCTCCACCCCTTCGAATCGAACCCTGCCGGTCAAGTTGGCTTTTACAGTGTACTATTAGTAGTATTGCAGCTGGTGCTTTCCCCAATCCCAGGCGTTGGTACTACATGTAAGTCTACGGTAGGATGAAATGAGGAAGTGCTCTGCTGTGCTCTGTAGTACGGAGCCATGGATTGATCGAGTGGTGTGAACTGCTGATGCGGCACCGTACGGTCTAGTCCAGTGCAGCCGAGCAAACCGCGAGGTAAAGCAAACAAAACCTGGACAATTTTAGTTTAGATGTGATCATGGGCTGGTTGGCGAGCCAACAACAAGCAAGTTGTTGAGCGAGAGCATCATACTGTATGGTGGTCTCATCCCGCAGGACAACTGCTGAGTTTCGGCCAGGGCTGCTTGCCTTCGCGAAAAGCGACTTTATCCAGCGGGATAGGCGGCTGGGAGTTCTAGTTGAGTACATGTATCGGACTTCCAAGCTATGTACGTACAGGCTATTAATAGCCAGGATATGAAACCATGGACCTGCATACGGTATGTACTACTAGCTAGTAGTCTGTAGCAGCAATCAAGGATGGGCTGGAACGGGGCCTGCGACTGCAACCAAGGAGATCTGGAGAAGCCACTATTAATATGTTTGATTGACATTTCCCTGACTGCATGCAGCTATGCAGGTTTGTGCAGGTCCAGGTCGAACATGTGCTGGTGACACCGGGCGGCTCCGGAAAGTTTTGAATTTTGACTTGACCTCCTAATTACGGTCTTTCCTGGACTTCGTCGCAGCTACTCTTGCACTCTTGTTAGCTTCTTGGTGTTCTCATCAAGCCTGCCATTCGATAGGAGAATTATTGTTTATGCCTAAGTAAAATAGTGAGCACGCGAAAGATCCGATTTTTTGAATTCTATTCTGCAAGATCCATCCATCGATGATCACTTTTGCTGCACCGAAAGAAGAACCTCTTTCCTTCAAACTTTGCCTTGATTGTTTCCATTATTTTTCGGAGAAGCTCTTTTGAAAAAGGATCCTCTACTAAAATCTCTCTTCTATCATCAAGATGATGAAGTTTCCCTCCATTCTCTTGTCACTCTTAGCAGTGGCTCCATCAGCTGTTGTTGTTGTCAATGCGTACGATGTGGGCTGTTTGTATCCTCCCAACATGCCGGATCCGTTTGAAGCTCGTTATTTGCTGCACGAGTATTCGGGTTCGTATTTGATGAATCAAGCGATCGAGACTCCCGTAGTGATTCACGTGGCGGCGCTGTCGTCCTTGTGTCAACACAACTGTGTGGCCTACCACGACGACAAGATGTTGAATGCCGTGACGGAAGAACGTCCCATTGTCAGTATCCCGCAAGAGTACCATAATTCCTGGAGTCGCATGTTGTGTATTGCGCAATGTTTCGAGTTGTTGGGCAATGAAGCCGGTCACAGTGGAACGTACGATCTCTTTTGGGACAAGTGGGGATTGGACAATTTGCAGGAGCGCAAAGACATTATCGGATTGGCTTGGTTGACGTCACAAGATGGAGACACTAAAGCCTTGGAATCGGTACTGGAAAATGACGATTATCATCCTTACACTGTCGCACAAATTGTGGCTACTGAAATTCTACTGGATGTCATTGAAGATGGATGGAATGCTTTGGGCGAATGGACGTACGACAAGACCACGGGACAACCCATCAAGTGCACGGCCAACTGCGAACGATACAAGGACACCACGGGATACTTTCCACGCAATCATGCCACTGGAAAACCAGAAGTCAATGGAACTCAGTACATTGTGGAGGGCGTTGACAAGTATTGGCAGCCACTTGATGACAATGACAATAATGGGTTCTTCAGTGCTCAGCATCACGTCACTCCGCACATTGGATTCATGGGCAAGGCCAAGTTGCATGATTCCGTGGACGATTTCCCCACGGCACCCGATCCGGAATACAATTACCGAGAAGAAGCGCTGGAGGTTGTGGAGCGACTCAAGGAAACCGCCAGTGATCCCATCAAGAAACAAAAAATTGCCTTTTTTGACAACAAACTATTGGTCATCAACTTGGTAGAAGGCTATGTCAAGCGCAAGTTTAACGAAAACTATTCCTTTGAAGATGAAATCCTCTACATTGAAGGCATGTCGGCGGGTGAGTACGAAGCCACACTCATGGCATGGAGGGCCAAAGTTCAACACGATCTTGTCCGTCCCACCACTGTCATTCAACGTTGGGGCAACGATCAACTCGAGACGTTTGATGGAAACAAGGAAGCCGATGGGCCTGGTATTATTGCGGCACGCGATTTCCAAGCCTTTCAACGTGTCATGCCCCACAGTGAATATCCATCGGGATCGTCCTGTATCTGTACCGCCTACTCGGAATTCACCGATGCCTTTACCATGGAGTACTACGACGACACCATTACGGACATTACCTTTGGTGCCTTGGGCAACAGCACTGGATTTGGATGCAATCCCGAACAAGATCCTCCTCTCTTGCATCAAGCCGGGTGTCAGAGTGATTTCACCATTCCCAACATGAAGGCGCTCCTCAACGAGTGCAGTCAGAGTCGTCTCTGGGCGGGATTCCACTTTACCGCGGCTGTCGTCGAGGGTGAGAAAATGTGCGCCGGTGTTGGATTGAAAGCCATGGAACGAGAAAAGAAACTCCGCAATGGAAGTTCCTTTGGAACACCCTTTTACCAAGGGGATGCCCGTCCTACATGCACCAATCCTCCACCGGAAATGGTGGAAGTTGGCTTGACCGACACAATCTTGTCGTCGGCGGCGGCGACCAACAAGGTGATTTCCGCCGTCGTGGCAGCCAACTTGGCGCTGTTCTTTGCCGCTGCCATGTAGAAGGCATGATGGTAGCGAGTGTTGCATCTATACCTATCCAATGACACTGACTGAAAGTCAACCAAGGATGCATCATTTATTTAGGAAAACCAAAAAGGCAAGAGAAGAAAAGATATATACATAGCCTAACAATAGGAACAAATCGTTAAAACCACTAGAAAACCAGCCATGTACCTCAGTTGCTATTGGCTACCAAGCGTTGCCTTGCACAGCCCTGAACGCTGGGTCGAGATTTAGGGGGGGTCAGGCACCAGCGCGGGGGAGGGAAAAGAAAAGGGAGAGGGTTAGTGATTGAGGTTCCCGATTCCCACTTGGAGAGCAGGCAGGGCAAAGATCGAGTCATTGTGAGAGCATGCGAAGTGTTGAAAGAGGGGAAACGGCCATGACTCCAACACTCCCATAACTCTTTTCCCCTAAGACATCGAAGAACATGAAAGTACGTCAGGAAATACGTTTGAATTCTGCGATTCAAATCTCATCAACGGATACCTTCTTCCCAATCCTTCGCTCGCACCACACCCTCCCATAATTCAAAAATCGTGGACGAACAGCAACACCACCGATCTCCGATCTCCGATCAACAACACCACCACCAATCGTAACTGTTGACCATGAGGATCGCTACAAGCCCTTGCTTCTCCAAGTGGCTGCTAACTGTTAGTCATGCATACCCATTCAATGAGCTGAGGGCCACAAGGAATGGATTCACTTGCAAGTACATCATTGTGGAAGAACAAGAGCCCCACCTCACCAACTATCAGAAGTTTCATTGTTGGCCCACAAATGAAGTGCCGGATCTTGAGGAGTTGATATACCAAGGAGGATGCAAGCCTCTTCCTCCAGACATGACAAGCATCATGGATTACATGTTTGAGTGGGGTCTTCAGAAGAGTCCAAAATGGTACACCATGTGTTCTCTCCACCCTTTCTGGAATGCTGGACGGGCCAGAAGCATGTCAAAGGAAGGACATCTTCATTGAGTGCATCTATTGGTTAGTGAGGGAAACGATTGCCAAGAGCTATGACTTCTACTCCAAGCAAGGACAGATTTATGGATGCTTGGCATGGGTATTGTTGCCTGGTATGACTACAACAAACATTTCCTTCAAGTTTGACTTTGATGTGGAGACTTTTGTTGATGAATGCATTGAAAGCCTTGACCACCACGGATTCTTGCAACCACAATTTGCTGTACATTGTGGAACTGAAATGTAAGTTAGCTAATAGCTACATAAGAAATGAATTTGATGTACCTAAATATTTATTGCTGTTCTTATGTCAGGTATCCATTCAATCGAGTTTGACAGGTGGCATCATGGGGTGGTCTTCCTCTCTGTTAGTCAACCACTGGCAGTATCTTGACAGCAGCCATTCGGTGGAGGAGGTGCTGGAAAGGAGATGGCAGTATTGGTTGGAATTGCGCATTTGCATGGCGAGTTCATCATTTGAATCTGTTGTTGTTGAAATTGAAAAGCATGTTACTCATGTAATTGTTTGTTGTTTGTGCCACAGCTGCTTGGTTTGGTGGTGGAGGTGGCTGTGTGGAGTGATTGCTGGTGGTTCTGTTGAGGGGTGGTGGATGGATTGCTGGTGGTTCTGTTGGAGGTGGTGGACCAATTGCTGGTGTAGGTGGTGTCTCGATTGCTGGTGGACTCGGTGGTGCTCCAGTTGCAAGCTGCACAAAGACAACAATCATTTGGAGCATACTTTTGTCTCTGTGGTTTGAATCCAACAATGAACTCTGAAAGAATCTCTCTCCATTGTCTTGTGGCAATGGTTCTGCATTTGGGAATGGTGCATCCACACCAGCAGCCTCTGCTAGCTCATTGAGGTAAGCCAAATTCTGAATGGTTCCAGTATGGAACAACCTTTTCCCATCCAGCTGGAATTGACCTCCTTTCTTCCAGGCTGATTCTTGACTGGAAGGCTCTCTTGTGTCGAATGTTGAGGTTGTATCTGGCAGTTCCAGCAAGGTTGAGGGCATCTGCTAGACTTCTTCTCATGCCACTATTGGCGAAATGGGCAAACTTGTCGTGGAATGCTTCCAGTTTCGATTCTCCTCTCCTTGACAGATACTCTGGGAGGCTGTGCTTGGATTGGGTGATGGAAGGATTGTGTCATACATGTCTTCCAAAGGCAGTGGTCAGCCAAGTGAATGGCTTTATCAACACAGTTCTCTACAGCTGGCTTGGTGTCTTGAGTAAACAAGGTATAGTTCTTGACTGGATCCAGTCGCCCTTGTCCTGGCTGGCTACCATCACTGGCTGTCACCTTGTACCTGCAGAACCACTGCTGCAACCTCTGCCTCATTGTCTCTGGTGACCTCATCTGCTTCCTTAGGTATTTGGAGTACCTAGCTCTGAAGACCTTGGAGCTTGCATATCAGAGATCTCAGCCATGGAGTAGTGCTTGCCATTGGAGGACAAGAGGCCATGTTTCAAAGCATGGAGGACCTTCTCATAGTCATCTGGTGAGTACTCATAGAGGCAGTCCAAGAGGTCTCCCATTGCTTGAAAGTAATCAATGTGACCCTTCCTCAAAGTTGACAGAATCCTTTTCTCATAATGGAACAGGCCAAGTCTTCCCTCGATACCTGGAAAGAGCAGCTCCAATAGTCATCCTTGTGGGGCCATGGTGTCGCTGTACATGGCAGCTGGGTTGAAGTGGCTCTCCTTGCTAGCTGCATGGCAGCATGGGAGAAGTGGATTGTCTTGGTGGTGGAACAAGAACAGCAGAGGCAATCTCTCCTGTTTCAGTTGGCAGCATCCCAAACAGCACCAGCACCAAGACTCTTGGAGTAGTTCTTGACCACCTGAAAGGTATGGTCTTGGCAGAAGATTCCTTTGTTGCACTCGACACTTTGGATCTCTCTTGTGTGCCTTTGGTTGTCACTGATCCTCCACGGATTCCTGTTTGAAGCACAGCAGCATCATAGATGTCACGGATGGTGTCACCAAGGGGAGGAAACTGTCTTATGTAAGTTCCATCCTTTTGAAGAAAGGGATCCGGATCTGTTTCACTTCCTTCCCAATAGGAGAAGTATGACATGCTGGCTCTAATGAAGTCTCTGTTGATTGCATTGTAGATGAGCCGGCTGCAGAGTTCTCCATTTCCATAGGTCAACATGATGGATTCGAAAGTCTCAGTGGCAATTCTATCCAAGTGACACGCCTTGTTTGGAAGGGCATACTTTGACTCCACAGGATAGAGGAGAGCAGCATACTGTGGGATTGTGCACAAGACCTCAGCACTGTTGGCATCAAACCTTCTCTTGCAACAGTCACAGACCATTGACATGACAATGCACCAAGATGGAGCTCCAGTGATGCCAAAGATAGGGAACAAGGTCTTGTTCTTTGACCAGTTATGCCTCGCATTCTTGAGTTGGCCAGAGCATCTTCCATCGCGACAAGGTACAGTAATTCCACATCGATTCCAGTCCACCAGGAGGAGTTTCTGGCCAACAATAGAGTGATAGTGTGGAGACTTGAATTGGTCCTCTGTGGATGGAACTGTCATTGGTGAGTCCTTCAAAGTGTTGGCTGAACAGTTGTGGATTTTTTGGCTGATAATGGACTCTGACACTACTTGTGCCATTGCTAGCATTGCAGTGGTGCTCCTTTGGTCTTGTGCTGTTCCACAAAGGCAGATCCTTTACAAGAGTGGTTACCTTTCGACAGAGAGCTAGTGGAGTTGTGCTGGTTGTGTTCCTTGTGGATGTCTTCTTTTGCCGGCTCTGATTGGTTTGCTGTTTCGTTCTAGCAGCGAAGAAGGCATCTCCATTCTCTCTTGTGGATGCTTCCAGCTTCCTCTCTCATTCAGTGGAAGAGGAGCACTGAAGTGCCTTGTGAGTCTTCTGCTCTCTCTGATGGTTTCCATTGTCAGCTCATTCAAATCTCCTCTTCCTCTTGTTACTGTATTCTTAATACAGAGAACGTGGTGTGATCTTTTTGGGATTCTGAGACCAAGATGTCTGGCCTTACAGATGACACATTCTTGAGTGGATCAAAGACTTCTGCTACCTCTCCTGCCAGTGTTGTTTGGGGTCCTTCTTCTCTGGCTCTCTTGGATCTGTTGTTGTTGTTGGCAGCCAGTTGGTAGGCTCTCTTCTGTTGCGAGTTCCTCTGTTGACTTTGGCAGCCATTCTCCATTATGAGTGTAGCTGCTGTTGGTGGCTCCATGGTCCTCTTTTGCTGCTGCTGCTGGCCAAGTTAATGACTGTCGAGTGGCTCTCCGGTGGTGTTGCCGGTGGTGTTGTCATTGTCGCTCCGATCCGACGGAAGGAATCCGTCTTTCTGTTTTCGCGAAACACGAAAATGGCGACTAGGTAGCACACTAGCTCTGTAATCTTTATAAACGGTACGTTAAGTATATTTGAATCTTTGCTGACGCATTTGCTGATGTCATAGGTTGATTAGCCAATCAGATCACTGCCTTCTACCGCTTTCACCCTTGTTCATTGCTACCGTAGGGGAAGGCAGCGCTGGGGTTGAGAGTGGGAGTTTGTGCTCATTGTTTGCGCTCCAACATGGAATGAAAAAGTTGTGCCTACTAGTACTCTGCGGTACGGATGCAGGGCAAGTGCCTACTTCCTGTCTGTCACCTCGGCTTAGATTACTTAATTACATGTACTATAAATACCAGTACATCGTAGTCTAGTAGGTCTGTTGACCGGTGACAGTGGCTTCAGAACTGCCTCCAGAAAAAGATGAAGCCAGATTCCTCTGGCTGCTACCGTACTAGCTACAGTAATAGAAAGTCGATTCTGCAAGACCGCATGGGTCTTCTGGGAGGATTGTGGTCTTCCAAGGGTTTGATGGTTCGGCTCGCTCTTAACGGTTCAATTGACAGGTAATTCAATCCGGGACAGGGAATGAGACACTAAAGATCGCAGTCGTGTAGCACATAATGACTTCGAGGCGAGGCATCAATGACCTTATTCGTGAATGAATAATGATTGAGATACATGTTCTCGGAAAGTGATGTCACCAACCGGGTCAACTCGTCAATTCCGTCTCCTTGAGACGGCGCACCTTTTGGTTACCCCCTCAGTTGCACTCTGAAATCGATTGGCTCGCGTTTACTGTGTAAATTAGTGTACTCGCACTTCAGTTGCAGAATCAACGGTCATGTGTATCGCGAAAGATTTAGATCGATTCGTGGATACAAGAACCGTTGAAGTTACTAAGGTTAAGGATAAACTGATTGCCTGGAGCTAGTACCGTTCAAGTCCATCATTGAAGGTGCAGCACTGACTTCTCTCCCTCATTGAATTGCTATGGCAAAGAGGAGAGAAATCCAAGCTTGGCCAACAAGAATGTTGTTGGAACGATTGAACGACTGGTACGGTACTGTACGATGTAAGCCTATTATCAAGAGTGTTAATTGAAGGTACAGCGCTGACTTTCTCTCCCTCATTCAATTCCTATGGTAAACAGGAGAGAATTCCGAGCTCGGCCGTCAACAGGTGAGTTGGTTTTAATTATTCGAATCGATCGATCGCACCTCTATTATTATCCAAGCCGTCCTTCTCTGGTGCAGATTCGAAAGCCATCCCTCATTGAATCCTATGGACCGTGGGATGGCAGTCAGTTCTCGGCCCATGACGGCCAAGTTGGTGCAATTTGAAAAACAATGGTAAGTCTCCGGTCTTCTGCAGTTGAGCACAGAAAACAAAACTCATATCTATTTGTTGTTTTCTCTGCTGCACTGCTGACGGCCGAGGAAATCCCATTGTCGCGGTCCAACGAACGATTGATCGCTCCGAATAACACGAGGAAGAAGAGGCTACCGCTACGGAGGTATGTGTACGGAGGAAACTGTTAACTCCAGCCCTACCAACAGCATGAACGACATCTTCGAGTCATTGAATGGCAACAGTCAACCGGAGGAGGCTACACGACAATGCACAAAAGCACAGAGGAGAGTGGATTCTACTACTGGATTCATCCCTCCAGTGTTACTTCCTTGTGATTTGGTGGTGATTCCTGTGTCGGCACCCATTTTTCTGTATGCACAAGTCCTCGGGCGAACGACTTGCTTCTTTCGTAAGATAATAGATCATCGAGTCGTCGACTCATTGAAAGGGAACAGGAGCAAGGCTAGCTACTCGACAACACACAAGAGAGTGGATCCTCCTACCGGATTCATCCCTTCTTGTTATTTCCTACTGTTTTGGTGGTGATTCCTGTGTCGGTACCCATTTTCCTGTATGCGCAAATCAAGTACTGTTGCCACTAGCTATACGGCAGCTGGCTACAATGGTTGGATTGACAATATTCCGTTCTACATGTATTCGTCATAAGGATCCAATGCGAGGTAACCGAGTGCAGCGAGCAAAGTCGAACCTGCGTGTGTTCGATACTGTTGCCACTGTCACTGATCGATGAACTCTACGGTAGCTGGCTACGATGGCTGGATTGACAATGTTCGGTTGTGCATGTATTCGGTTGTGCATGTATTCGTCATAAGGATCCAAAGCAAGGTACCGGTAACGGAGTGTAGCCAGTAAAGCGGAACCTGAGTGTGTGTTCGGTACTGTCACGGATCGATGTAACTCTACGGTAACTGGCTACAATGGCTGGATTGACAATATTCGGTTGTGCATGTATTCGTCATAAGGATCCAAGTAGCGAGCAAACTGAGGAAACAGGAGACGAACGCTGGAAAAAAGCCGAATACCAATGAGAAGTGAGAAGGAGGAGGAGGTTTTCCATCCACTCCGAACGGTGATTTTAAGGTTAACTCATTAGGGTTAACTTGTCACTTTCGGCCTTGGCGCTGCTACCCCTCTGTTTCCCGATCCTCTCTCTCATCCAGAAAACAAACTGAAAGTGGTGGGCACCATTCACCCTCAGGAGGAGGACTCTCTTGGGAGATTTCTCCCTATTACAGAGGATGATTACGTACACGGACGATGAACGTGAGTGGCGCTCATTCATGTTGTAAAGGGGAGAGTTGTGGTATGATACAAAGGGTAATTTTCGTGTTATCGGTGGAATTAGTTGGTGAAGAGATCTGGGTTGTACCCGGTCTGGTAGAGTTTTGTTTCGTGAATTCATCGCCCGTGACAAACACAAGGCAACATCGCATTGGGCTATAAAATGCGGTGCGTCCTAATATTGATTGAGTTCCGCTTGATAAGCTCCCCATTTTGCAATGCTGTCGTCGTATTTCCATTGCAGACATTCCCAGAGAATATCAGCGTTTTGTGCATAGATGGCAACAGTAGTGCCACCGTCGGGAATATAGGGTCGCAGTGTATTGGCGGCTTTCTGAGTGAAACACTCAACCTGCACATCGATCCGCAGACGTCGTTCCCCGTCGTTGAATATATGACGTTCCGTGGCTGGACGCAATGGTTTTACGGCCACCTGCGGTACCCGATGTGGTGTGTCGGGGAGATTCAAACCATCAAAAAACTGGTGAAATGTCCAGCTCGCCGCCAACAAATTGTTGTCATCATAACGCAGCTTTTTAAATTCCGGAAGTGCTTTGTCTTTCAGATGCAGCTTATAGGCCCCGACAGACGATAACCAAGCAGCCCTCTCGATAGCTTGATAAGTTTTCAGCGGGCTGTCTAATTCTGCTGGCTCTGTTGCCAGAACGAGTGAGAACCCTCTGAAGTCTGCCAGACTCGTACAAGGAGAGTCTTCTGCTTCTGCTGGATCATACTGATCAAAAGTAACGGGCTGAAGGTTGATCGGTCGGATGCAACTGACGGCAAGCGATACCTTCGGTTGAACACTAGAATTCGGATGATCAAACGACCACTTGCGAAGAGCCCGCGAAAATCCCATCGCCGCCTCATATGTGTTGAAATACAGGGACACGGAAAGCTTGTTGATGTCATCTCCTTCCCCATAACGAATTGGATTCTCCCCAGGGATGAAGTGTGCAGTGTTGTCATCAGCCTTCATGTAAACAGCCGCTCGTACGCCTTTGCTCAAGCGACCATCCTCAATTTCGGCCGTTACGTTGAAGCAGACCTCGCCGAGGTCTTTCAGAAAAGCACGGAATCTTGTCTTCGGCCCAAGGCCGTCGATTGATAGAAGTTCACAAGCTTCGTCAATGTCCTCTTTTCCATCAAGGCCTCGAGGGTCAATCCCGGCTTTGTCAAGTTTTTGCTGCCACTCTCTTCGCTCATCCATGGTTACCACCATCGAACAGATCGGTCTTCTGGGAGGATTGTGGATTGTGGTCTTCTGGAGCGTTCCTCAATCGTGCATACCTTAACAAAAACCGACCCTAATTTTGGGACGGATTTAGGGACGGGTTCCCTTTAGGGTCGGGTTTGAAAACCGACCCTAAAAATAGGGACTGTTTCTGAAAAATAGGGACGGTTTCTGAAAAAACGTCCCTAATCGATTTAGGGTCGGGTTTGAAAAACGTCCCTAAATAGAAACGGGACTGAATGGTAAATACATTGAAAACGCACCAATATTAGGGTCGGGTTTGAAAACCGACCCTAAAAATAGGGACGGTTTCTGAAAAATAGGGACGGTTTCTGAAAAAACGTCCCTAATTTAGGGACGGGTTTCGATTTAGGGTCGGGTTTCGAAACCGACCCTAATTGAGTCGGATTTAGGGACGGGTTTCCCCAAACCGACCCTAAAATTAGGGTCGGATTTAAAGGTCATGCACGATTGAGGAACGCTCCTGAGTGTTTGGAGGCTCGGGCTTCCTTTCTTAACTGTTAACTGTAGATTTAGTCACGTTTCAACTTGTTTACCGGTGTGAATCCGGGATTCTCGGGTGATGTGTGTGCCTTTTTGCAAAAAAGAGCACCGTGTTTTCACCGGTTAAGACTTGAATTAAAATATTATTTTTAGTTGACTGCTGCCTCTAACTCATGGAAGTCGAATACACTGGGCACCATCCTTCGTCTGTGGGAGGATCTTCGTCGGTGTTGATCATGTGGGGTTCCTCATGTAATGGCTTAGGAATGTGCTGTTGGAGCTGGATCGAGTGATCTCTCGGGTGATCTCTCAGCCATTGCACCGGATCCCATGGTCTCAAGTTGTTGTTGCTGATGCTTGGGACCGATTGTGGATCCACCGTGGTGGACCTGGGGTTTAACCGTGGGGGACCGGGGGGACCGAGCGTGGGAACTAATTTTTTGTTAAATCTCAAGGGAACCTTGTTTAACAGTCGGTCCACTGGTCCCCCATTTTCTGACTTCACTATAGGAAAAACAGTAGGGGTGGAGTGGACCGATAGGGCGGTAATAATTGTAATAATAGTATCGCCCTATTCGTATCCTTACGTACACCTGCTCGGGTTATCATATCTATTGAGTGTTGAACGGCTGTTTGAAACGATCGTAGCGTGGAAGCAAAAACGATGGAGAAACCACAGCGTGTTCGCAACGTGAAGCCTCGGAAATCGTAGAGAGAGGAGTCACAACTCTTGATCAGCGTCTTCAACTCTCGCAACAATGGCCGACTATACTATCAGCTGGGAAGATGTGGTTATGGGTGAAGTTATCGAATTTCCTGGCCGTCAACTTTGCGTGCAATGGTTGAGAAGATCCGTAAAGACGCTCACACCCTCGATGCGGACCCTGATAAGGTCGAATCATGGCTCCTCAAGGTTAGATGCGCTGTAGAAGTATTTGGGAGCCACCGTATCCCAGGAGACATCAAAGCCGCAACAAAGACGACTGAGGATACCTGGGCAAACTATGAAGGTGGGCACTTCATCACTCCGATTTTCCGCGATAGTCTTCCGAAGGTTGTGACTGCCCTCTGGGAGTATAATCACAGTATGAAGACTAGCAGCTTTCTACATGTTTACAAGGCGAAGAACTCGGACTGGCAGATGGGACAAGGCGTCCCTAAGATTCACATGTGTGCCCACAAGCGTAACAAGCTCGAATGCGTGGAAATCACTTATGTTCAGCTTGATGGCACTCATTTCACTGTTCGCACCAACAAGGTTGGTCTTGGAAAGAGTTTATCAACAACATTTGGAGCGACCTTGCCAAAACATTTTGGAGTCACGATTTGGTGAAAGATGAACGATACCGTCGTATTATGGCTGCGATATTCCGAAGACGTGCGGCGTATGGGGATGGGTTCTTCCCTGAAAGCATTCGCGCTGTCACCCATGAACTTGAGGAATGCCGCGCACTGTCTTTCAGGCTTCTGTTTAAGAGGTTGGACATAAAAAAAAACATGACGTTTCCAGATCGAGATCTAGCTAGTGATCTTAAAGTATATGCTCCGAGCAGGGGTGATTACTAAAGCTGATATTGGCAAGTATTTAGGGACAGAGGTGGAAGTAATCCTTCTTGGATGTTGTACCCACGGGAACCTAGGAGGTGCTGATATTGGCAAGTATTTTAGGGACAGAGGTGGAAGTAATCCTTCTTGGATGTTGTACCCACGGGAACCTAGGAGGTGCTGATATTGGCAAGTATTTTAGGGACAGAGGTGGAAGTAATCCTTCTTGGATGTTGTACCCACGGGAACCTAGGAGACCTCCTACGGTGAACGATACTCTAGACATTTATTTTGGTGTCAAATAGTCTTCGGGAGTGCCTACTTCAACACCGTTGTTTTCAATTGAGAGTTCTTCTTGGAGTTCATTCAGTAAGCAGGGGAGGGTGTCCTTGGAAAGGGAAATGCACTCGAACTCAGCTGGGATGGTTGCGTTGTCATTTTGAATGAAGACTCCTTTGATGTATGGATTCCCACGGAGGGACATTCTTCGAACATAAATTAGATAGGGTGTTGCTCCTTGATTCCACATGTGTTCCATGAACGCATCTTGGTCTTGGCCGTTTGAAGGGAAATAAAACTTTAGAGCTACCATCATGGGTTGCTTGGAAAGTTAGCGTTAGAGTTGAAAGTTAGCGTTGGGGTCATAAATTTGCAAACGAAAAAAATGAGCCAAACATCAAAGAATTGGAATTTCACTTTGTTCTTCAATTACAGAGATGACGAAGGCAAGGGACGGGCACAAGAGTGGAGGAACGACAGTTCCATCTATCTGAGAGAGGTTTTCGAAAGGGGAGCGAGATTTGCCGTCGTTGCCAGGGACGCAGCAGAGACTTGTCTGCTACTAAGGGGATTTTTTAGTATGAAGAATCCGTGTACACAAGCACACATTAAGAAGATCCTTGGAAAACACAGTCACTGTCACCCTGCTCCTTTTGGGGATGTCATTAACATGATTCAATGCTTCAACATTGACAAGCAGGCGACTTTGACTGGAAAGTTGGCTAAAGGAGATGAAGACCTCAACTTGGTCATGCGGGTTATACAAGATGACGATAGGAGGTATAGGGTTAAAGTAAAGGAATGATTTGAATACACGATGGGATGCACAGCAGAGGGCGTTGCACAGCAGAGGAGGTTGCACAGCAGGAGGAGGTTGCATAGCAGGAGGAGCACAGCAGAGGAGGTTGCACAACAGGAGGAGGTTGCACAGCAGAGGAGGTTGCACAACAGAGGAGGTTGCACATCAGAGGAGGTTGCACAGCAGCAGTTGGGTACGCTCAATCGCCGCGTGGGCTGAAGGTTGAGAGGCGCACAGCGGGAGGGGGGTCGGGGAGTCCTCTCGTGCCAACAAGCACAGCCAAGGAGAAGCACAGCGCACAGCCAAGGGAGCTGAGTCATTACGCTAACTCGTCTCCTGCGGTCGGACATGAGATTATCCTTACGTAGGTATCCTAATCTCATGTCTGTCGTCCCTTTGTCGCTCGCCATCCAGTGGGGCGACGCTACATTCTCTCAGCCGGGACAGGTGGGTTGGCACTCGAGTATGCGGGTTGGCACTCGAGTATGCATATGGGTATGCCTCCTAAGTCGGGAAATTATGCTACGCTCCAACCTAGGGCATACCCATATGCATTTGTCCTTTTGTCCTGAGGTTGGGGAAGGTATAGGAAAATCAACTTTGGGAAAAATTTCTACGTAGACTCTACGACACTTAATATACTAGGGAAAGTTGGGACATGTCCCAACTTTGGGACAAATTCTACTGCTCATTGAATGAGTAACGTGCCCGCTTTGCCTCCTTGACTTCTTCACATTCAGCAAGTATTTCACGGGTTCGGGTTACCGATTCTGCAAGATAAGGTGGGAGGGCTGCGGTTTGCTGAGAATGGAGTCTTTCTTTTTCATCGGGTTCCAATTCAATCTCTTTAATGATATAACGATCCTCAAAGAGAATGGACGTCCCTGTCTTTGGGCGGCGATTCATAAGAACAACAACATGGGGGATTCTGAATTCCTTCTGCTGGCATTGGTATTTAGTCTGAACAAGTGATCCATTCTTCACCTGCTCAAGGAATTTGTAGGCTAAATCATTGTATTGTTGTTGGCGTGGGCAATCCATGATGACTATGTCGGCGCCATCGTCAGGGTAAAGAGACGACATTGAAACCACATCTTGGGGTGCTAGACCAAACACTGCTTTCTTGGGAAAAAGGAACTCGATGTTTCGTAGTATTTCAGACTTGCCGCCGTTGCCTTCTTCATCTACTATGAAAATGATTTTACGAGGGTCTGGTGGATAGTCATTCAGATATTCTACCAGTTCCCGTTGCCATTTAAACATTTCATGCTCCTCAAAAAAGTTTTGGCGGATCTTACGGTACCGGTTGTAAAGCCGTCGGACCCATTCTGGTTTTTCACTGAAGAACTTTGGAAAGGTCTCTTCCACTTCAACGAAAGGGGTTCCTTCTTGAGCCATTTTCTTAATCGCTTCTTGAACATCATGGATGTCCGAACGTTCCCCGCGCTTGACAACCTTTAGATGACCATATTCGAAGATTTCACAGCCTTCTTCTTTGGCAATGCTGCCACAATAGTCTGCAGCTTTTTGTGTGGAGCCGCGCATGAGTCTTACATGGTAATGATGTTTCAGGTGTTTACCTGGGTTCTTTGGATCAGGGCGTGTTATATCTTTATTCGGACCCATTAGAATTTTAGACACTTTAGACTCGCGTTGTTTGAAATCTCGGACAAATTGGACACAGCCTTGCAGATGGGGAGTGTCTCCTTCGGAACCTGTCTCCTTTGCAACCTTCATGTACTCAATGTCAGTGTTAGCATCACAGAGTCGAGGTAGATATTCCCAATCAGTATCAGTCCAGTGATGGAGGGTGAATACAAAGCGACGACCAGATGATGACATTTTTAAATGTGGATTTTTTAAATTGTGAGGACAAGGATGGGGACGTTGTTGTGGTTGGAGTTAAATCAATCTTCGAGATTCACAAACACGCACATGCTCCTAAGAAATGGGAACGCACATTTACCGGATCGGAGGGTTCTCGGGAGCTTGTGGTATTTTTTTTGTTGACCGGAGAGAGATGACAAGTGTTTGGATCGACGGGCATAGATACGTCGACAATGGCGTCTTCCTTGACGGGAGGACTGAAACTTTAAAGGCCATGGGATATGGAGACTACTGCAAAGGTGGACAAAGGAGAACTACCGACGGATTCTATCTGTACTGCTTGACGGGCAAGGTTACTAAAGGCACAAGCACAACATCAGCCTCCAAACCAATGGATAAATGACGAAGTAGACAAATCTAATTATTAAAGAAAGTTTCAATCTCCGGTGGAAGGCCTTGGGGTAGCCTGAGGATGGTTTGAATCTCTTTAGTCTTCTCGTGTTTTTGAATCTTAGAGGGGGTGATCGTCTCGCTCTTGTCGAAGCCAAAGTCGGTGCGGATCTTCTCTTCTGCTAGTCTCGCCATCTGTCCTATCGATTTCTTGTCTGGGTTGCTGGGAAAGCTTGGTGCGTGGAGGAGGAGGATCTTCACTGCACATTTGATAGCTGCAAACCGGTTGGTGAGGCTCTTCCACTGGCTCTTCTCCATGTCCTTCCATGATTCGCTTGCTTTGTCGGAAGCGAAACCGGCTGGGAAGTTGTCGACGAAGAACTTGGTTGTGACATCTGAGATAGAGGGTGAGTTGCTGAGTGCTTTCAATGCGACGGAGAATTTGATCGCTCCTTTGGATTGGGAAGGAGTCGAGGGCTCGGACGTCGGGAGGAGATGGTCCTTGAGTAGCCGGACGGATTCGCATATGGTGGAGAATTGATGATTGTCGTATGCGCGCCGCAACTGATCGTGACGGACAATGTCTGTCAGATCATTCAACCGATGGCGGAGTTCTTGTACTACCACATGAGTTGATTGGGTCACGGATGCAAGCTGATTGAAATGGTCTGTGAAACGGCGTGGGTCTAGGGTCACATCACCACCTCTCTTGCTTCCATACAACGAGAAGTTCTGGATCGGTATTCCGTCGATGTTGCGAGTGAGGAAGCCGTTCCGTGCATACTCACGCCAAGACCTGAAGAGAAGTTCATCCACATCGGCCTTCTCCATGGCTTGATTGACCTTGCAGACGAACAGATTGTTGCGGATGGTGTCATACTCCTGGGATTTCTCCAAGTCAAACCGCTCATCTTGGGGATCGTAGTTCTTCAGAGTGCATTCTGGGATCCAAGCTGCAGGGTGAGAGCGCAGAACGTCCAAGAATTGATCATACCTGAGCAGGAGGCTTGAGACCAACAATTCGCGGACCTTCTGACCCCAGAGGCCATCCTGGTCGTCATCGAATAATGCATCGGTGAAACGCTGTAATTTGTCACGATATCCGACGACAGGGCCGCTTGTGAAAGGTTCCGAATCTTGGGAAGAAGGTGGTGAATGGTGTAGTCCCGGTGATGCTAGAATATCGTCAAACACGACGGGTTCTCCGCAACCGTCTCTGGCAGGCCACTTGGCTACTGCCTTTGCAGCTGGGCGCTCAAGAGCCACCGATCCGGCGATATACTTCAGCATAGTGTTGGCGGCGCTCTGCCAGCCCGCTCGGAAGTATTGAGACAGTCCTGAAGCTGAGGGATTTTCCGCACATAGCTGCTGGGAGCCTCGTTTGTTGCAGTGGGATCTCAAGGATTTGTTGACTGACAGGTTCATCTCGTCGAGTGATTCCAGCAACTCGTCGAAATCGGATTTCCAAAGGGCAGGGACCGTCGACTTGGACTTTCCATCAACCGTGGATAGGGCAGCAGCGGAATACCTTGGAATCATATATTCATTGTCGCAGCCACTCAGGACGAGCATGTAGATAAGGCTGAAGTACCAGTCTTCCAGGACTCCATCGGCATCTGGGTAAATCTGGATTTCATGGTAAGGACCATTCTTCTGACGTTGGCAGTCAACCTGGAGGAGGCTGTAGCGGTATACGGATTCCGTCGCCTCAATGGCGGATGTACTGGTTGCGGTTACCAATGAGACTTCAGAGCCTCGGGCGCTGCAGTGGAAAGTGCTGTTGAGCAGGTGGAGAAATTCCGATGAAGTTGCAGTGCCTTGCCAGAACGCAGCTTTCGCAAGAGCCTCTCTATCTTCGCGGGTACTGGAGGGTTTCTTCTTTGGGGGTTTGCCTCTGGTGGATTCGCGAAATTTGCCTTTGAGTTTGGAGCGCAGCTTAGGCCATTGTGGGTTTTCGAAGACTGGGATGGGCGTTTCGTGTCTGAATTTGGTTGTGAAATATTCCTTGACAGATGAGAAGAAACCATCGGCCGATGCTTCTGCGAGCCGTTTGTTGGGGTTCCTGTTGTACGTCGCAGTGCTGAGGTAATCGACGAAGCAACCTATCAACCTGGACCAAAACTCGTTCGTATCTTTAGGGGTAGCCCTTTGAGGTAGGCCGAGTCCTTTGTAGGGAATGTCTTCAGCATCCATGACATCTCCAAACTGCGGTAGGTAGTCATCTAGGAAGACTTGGAAGTGGTTCAAGGCATTCCTTTGTTTGCTGGTTGCCGAGGCCAACCGGTCTTCTGCAGCATCTTTATACTTGGTTGCCATGGTCTCTCTGGCTAGCTAGCGGCGCCAACACTAGCTAGCGACAATTGGTTGGAGGGAGAATGGTTGTGGCAGCATTGGAGCATCAGTTTGCTGGTGATCCGTCACGCTGTGACATGGCTCGAACTTCAACTTCAATAATATGCTTACCGGTGTGCTAGCTAGTCACGGGTCTTTAAGTCTTTAATCATACTAAATTGTTGCTGGTTCTCGGCTAACGCTCATACGACATGCTCGGGTAAGGGTTCCATGTGGGCCGGGCTGGCGCTGGGTCTTCTGTGGTCTTCCACGACTAATCAGGATCTTCCAAAAACAACGTACAGTAGCAGTTAAGTTTTAGTTGCTCCAAGCGCGCGACCCAGCCAAGCAGGGTGAAGAGTCAAGCCAGACGAGTCAAGCCTACCAAAACCAAATATTCTATTTGAGTCTTACACCGCTAGTGTTAAGCTCAACTAGCAAGGCTCACAACAGCTCCATCTTGTCCACCAAGTCTTCCTCCTTGATTGAGCCTGAGTACTCACGCGGTTGGTTCATCTGGTCTTGATCAGCCTGAACAACCATCCAACGGGATACTCAGGAAATTTTCTTTTTGCGCCCCGCCTGTTCCCTCGCTCTTTCCCTCTCGCTCTTTCTTGCTCAACGTCCGCCATGGGCTCCTCCGCCTCCGCCATGGGCTCCTCCTCATTCCTGCACCGCATCCCTTTTTCTCACGGGGGGGGGGTTGTTGTGTTGGTTGGTTGGTTCTAATACAGTCTGAGTTACCGCTCAGGGCCTCTGTCGTTGCGTTAATAGGTGTCCACCAGTCTCTTTTTGTTTACTAGCGTTTATATCGTTACTATCTGAATATGACTGAAGACTCCAAATCCTTCAAGGGGGACGGAAATGAGACAGACGACTCGGCCGAATTGTTGCAGAGTCTGCTTCATGGGAGTCTTGACCTCTCGCCAGAGAAAGGCACCCGTACCCCTTCAGCGAAGAGCAAAGCGAGTGTCGGTTCTCCAACCGATACGAATATCGAGGGAACTCGTTCCAATGTTGGTGAGGGCGCAAGCCCAACCGTCGCCGGTGGCATTTCTGGCGATGGTGAGGAAGCAGGTAAGACTGGTGTCCAAGCTCGAGTTGTTGTCGTTCGTCCGGATATGTTGAATCTGTACTGTTGCGGCGTCATCGGTTCCCCTGCCGGTCAGAAGTTCTGTTTCAAGGAAGATTGCACCATTGCCGCCCATGAGAGCAAAGTGGCTTTGCAAGAGGGAAACCTCTACATCATACCGCTTACCAAGTCAGTTGGAAAGAATAAGACCAAGATTGGGACCTATGGACTTCTGTCGCCCAGCATGCCCGCAATCATGGTCAACGTTCGGTCTGGCGAATTGGATTCACTCCTTGGCCGACCCCATCCGCTCGAACACTTGCGCATGGTGTTAGCTAGTAATACTGCAGCTTATTGGGGAGTAATTTGGTTTTGGATTAAGCTGAAAAGCAAAAGTGAGGATTTTCTGGTGGTGCATAGCAATTCTTGTGATTGAATTGGATATAAGGAGGGAAAAGAGAGAGATCAAATCCGACATCGTCCGACGCGAATCAGCCTACCTGCCAACAGGAAGGGAAAATTATTCTATGCCGCCATTGAAAAAATTTTTGATCGGTACGGAAATAATGATTTCAAGATCCAAGAAATACAGTGCGACCTGGAGTTCAAGAGCCTGATGGATCCTGTCAAAAACGAAATGGAGCTCAAGCTCAACCATGGAGCAGCTCAGACTCACAGTGGTCCCCCGAGCGGAACATCCGAACTTGAAGGAGCGCACCGCGCAGCCTGGCATTCAACCCGTTCATGGTGATGCCAAAGGTGATGATTGTGGAATTGGTGTACGATGTTAATTGTAAACTCAACCTCTCCCCGCCTTGATGGAATCTTAAAGTGTATCCTCCCAGGCAGATCTTGGAGGGTCGGACCACAGCTACAAAGATATTCAGTACACCTTTGGGAGCTATTGTCTCGCTTCCAACGAACCAGACAAGCTCAATTCCATGGAGCCCCGGCGATTGGATTGCATCTATCTCCGTCCATTGATGGACAACCACCAAGGTGGACACAGTGTGATGGACCTCGTCACTTTGAGGTGATCACGCGAAGCATGTCCGCATCCTGCCGATGCTCGCTCAGTCATTGATGCTGTCAAAAGAAGGCATACGGTGAGGGTAAGAAACCACTAATCTTTCACAACCGTGACTTTGTGGAATTTTTCCTGTAGTTTGCCTGCAGGAGTGGATGGTGTCAATGGAAATGAGACTACCTCCAAGTCTATGGAGACTCTTCGGAAGAAGATTCAGTGGAATCCACGGAATCAGATGAAGATTCTGAGGATGGGAACGCCCAGGGCTAGTACAAGGGCATCCAAACAGTATGCCAACATTGACTCCGATGAAGAGGGAGAAGAGGGATTCCAAGGAATCCCAAAAAGCACAAGTCCAGACAACCCTAACGTTGAAGAGACGGCACCAGCAGTGGATACCAATGATGGAAACCTCGCTGGACCAGCCAAGGCTTCCAAGCTTCCTCGAGTTGGAATAGACGCTCAGCTCGGATGCCACAGCCGAAGCAAAGAAAGGAAGTCACCTTCGTCCAAGATGACGAAGCGAAGCAACCACTACTGTATGAGACAGAGACAAGAAACATCTAGCTTTGTTCATGGACTCCTGTAATCACAGGAGTGCCACAGCAAAGTCAAGGATGAGAGCAGCCAGCCCAACAACATCTTCTACCAAGGGTCTGAAAGTGTGGGGCAAACAAGCCAGAAAGGCGGCGTCAAAGAGATGGACCAGCTACACAGCAGAGTGTGTTTCAGTCCAGTCGACCCAAACAAATGCATGATTCTGAATTGAAAAAGGCCAAATGGCACTCATGTTTGTGAGTGAGAAAAGGGATGGCACGGTCAAGGCCGTGCAGTCTACAATGGGAAACCTACCAGGGTGTACCATCAAAAGAAGATGCCAGAAGTCAACAGTTTCACTTGAGGGTTTGATGTTATCCATGTGTGTCGATGCATCTGAAGATAGGGAGTGATGTCCCTGGATGTTCCCAATGCGTTATCCAAACCCCAATGCCAGAAGTCAAACAAGGTGAAGAACAGGGTCCTCATGATATTGAGGGAACCTTGCAGACTTACTTGTCGAAATTGATCCTGACACATATGCCTCTTTCCTGACATACAAGAAGGGACGACCAGTCCTCTATGTCGTTGTGGAAAGAGCCATCTACGGAATGGTTTGGCAGCATTGCTCTGGTACAGCTCTTCAGAGCGACCTGGAGGGAATCGGATTCGTATTCAACCAGTATGATCCGTGTGTTGCCAACAGGATGATTGAAGGATTCAGCAGACGATACGCTTCATGTGGACGACCTGATGTCGAGCCACCGGATGAAACTGGTAAACAATAGAACCCTGGAGTGGTTCAATGACAAGTACGGTACCTATGGGCCGTGAAGGCAACCCGTGGTCCCAAGCATGACTACTTGGGGATGACGGTGGACTTTTCCGATCCAGGAAAGGTAGTCATTGACATGATTGACTATCTTAAGAAGATGATCTTGGAGTTCCGGTGGACTTCGAGCAAATAAGAAGGTGTCCAGCGCGGCACTGCCGATTTATTAAGTTCTGGTGATGGAGCTGCTTTGGATGACAAGACAGAGAAATCTATCACACCAACGCCGCCAAGCTGTTGTTCGCGTGTAAGAGAGCAAGACAGATGTTCAGACACTGACAATTGTTCTCGCACACGTGTGAGGAATCCCACAGTTTGATGACTGGGGCAAGTTGATCCAAGGATTGAAGTTCCTGACCAAACAGTGGAGGACAAGTGATACTCCACGTTGATGATATCCGTGTCATCACTTGGTGGGTGGATGCATCATTTGCAGTCCATCCTGATTACCGCCATACAGGGGAGTCATGTCCTTTGGAAGAGGAGCGGTGCTTTCTGTATCCGCGAAACAGAAGCTCAACTCAAGAAGCAGCACTGAAGCGGAATTGATTGAGCTGACGATGTTATGTCGCCCATGTTGTGGGCAAAGTTGTTCCTTGAAGAGCAGGGGATCGTTGTGAAGGACA